AATCTTACCCGCTCTCTAGAACAAGAGGACAAGGTGTACTTTTAGGTCCACGGGCTCGGGTACCTCAGGAAATTGTCCGCTAGCTGTGTAATAACTTTTCGTCACCCAGCTCCTCGCTGATACACGCTATCAGCGAGGATTTGCACTTCAAGTATGTGCAGCGATTCTGTTGTTTCAGCTTTCGACCAGCCTAAACTCCCTTTCGCCCTATAGCTTTACGTAACACCTGCTTAGCGCACGCTTCTCTCCCTTAGCTCAGAGGAACTGGATTCTACGCACCCTTCGCGAAAGAGAAGTTACAATTAAACATGGTTTCGTTTCTCATGGTATAAGATTGTGAATATGTTTAGCGAAAAACACAGAGAGACTCAAAAATCAGCATTCGACCAGCGATAAAGGCTAGTGTAAAGAAATATGATCCACTGATAAAAGTCATCCCAGATATTTGTTTTCTTTTTTTCATTGGAGTGTCTCTTGACAAAATAATAAAGAACTTGCTCATCATGAAATCGAAAGAACTTTGCCTTTTAAAAATAAATATTTTCATTTAGCCATCGTCGACATTTACACGTTTTTCTTGTACAGGCTTTGTATTCAGTCAGCACCTCTATCTACTGTAATGGAGGGTAAGTGGCTTTGAATACAGGCGAGTGCTCTACTCGAACGTTTCTTTAATTCATGCTTTCACTACTATACATGTACACTCTCTTGCCTAGCTCGCCTCGTGCGTTAACATCCGGGCCCTAGCGTATGACCGTATTAGGTAACGACACTACATCTACGCTTTATGAACATTCTCAAAGAAGCTATTTGAGCACTAAATACCAGACGGAAACTAGACAATGAATAGGATGCAGACAAAATTTGTGACCTATAAATTTTTAAAATTTACTTACCGGTGTAACCTTCCTATCGTTGTTCTCCTTGAGAATTAGGGGGAAAACTAGTGTATTCCCAGCGTAGAAGAACGTGAAAACGTTGAAGCCGAGCTAGACGAGCAAAAAGGCGACGAAGGAATTACAAATTCCAGTTTTTAAGGCTCAACGAGTGGCTTACGTAACTGGTTTGTAAGGTGTGTATCAAATTGCACCGCACACTTGTAGGAAAAACGAGATAAATTTATTCGTGATGCAATTTAGATCAAATTATTTTTAATCAGAGAGAAGAATTTTTCCAACAATAGCTAATTTTATCGTGATCATGAGGTTTTTCCGTTTTGAAAACCGGCTTATTATTATCAACATTTTCCCAGACAAGAACCACGTGTTGGCCACAAGTTAAACAGACGAAAGTTTACAGTTTCATGGGCGAAGGCGTAATACTTTTTGTCGGAAACGTGGTTGTCAAAACAAGTCCTCCATTTTCCGGGTATTGCAATTTCTTGCTGTCGGCTTCTCTCGCACGTGGTAGTCAATATTCCTTGGTGCGTTCCCCGGATGAGAGACATGCTCTCAAGCCGAAAAAACGTGATTTGAGAGAGTTTTTTTCTTTGCCCGAGGAATAAAAATTGTAATTCGTGGCCCATTGTGTTTTGCCAGAATATTTCAGATGGTGTCAAGGTTTGGGTAAATATGGCATATGTTTGATTAAATTTTGTTTTGAACAATTTTGTTTGTTATCGACGAAATTGGGTGGAAGTCGATTGTCGACCTCTTTTTCATTCAGCCTGTCCTGGCGAACAGTGGAAAACGAACCAGTCACTGGCGATTTTACAACGACAGGAGTCTAATGACAAGAACCGCAGCACTTCCGGTCTGGATTTATGAACCCAAACTAGGCACAAGGGAACTTCGAGGCAGATTCCCCAATCGTTCACTAAATACAATGCATTTTGCATACCTGAATCATTGCAAGCTTTGTCTTAGTATCACTGGGCGAGCACGCAGCAAGCTCATCCAGTGATTGGTGAAGAAAAAAAAAAAGTGCCACCTTATATCGTAATCTGACACACCAGTCATCTATATATAGTAACCGCTTATTGATCACACATTTATGTACAATGGACTCATGGAAGGTTCTACCATGCTTCAGACAAATTACTTTGCCTCATACGAAAACTTCGTTTCAAACACCAACTCACAAAAGTCCGTCTTCTCTTCACTTAAATGGGTGGCTTTTAGACGATCACTTTCACGTTCAATTCTTAAGGAGTCAACATAATTTTAGCCGGAACTTTACAAGTGACCTTGTTAAAAATTATGTAAGGATTAAGTCTAAAAAAATGATATATCAATGAGCGTTTTACTAGAGTTGGGGATATCCTTACAGTGCAGTCAATGAATTTAGATCTTGTGATTGCACGCTGGAGATAGCGATACCCTATGATTCCACGAGTTGACCATTGTCATTGCACGTGAAAACATAGCATAGCGCTCTGATGGGGATGCGTGCAAGGTTACGTGGTGTAAGATATTAAGGGCGAAATATTCGATTACGGGGGATAATAGTTGCAGTGCTTAATTTGTACCAAACTGTGTTGTAAGTCTCTGTGAGTTGAAGGCTTTGTTTGGATTTCCTTGATCAGTTGACTATTTGTAATAACGCGGTAACGGTGAGTTGTTATTGTCTGTTATTGTTTTTATTTATTTTTCAAAATGTCTGTTTTTTTTCATTTTTTTGAAAAAAAAAAAAAAAAAAACCCGGCGATGAAAGAGTCAAGTGTAGGAGACGTTCAAGTAATGTTAGCTCAAAGAACAAGGTGCAACTTATCGGGGAAAAAAAAGCGAAAAGGAGATTATTTGATGACTGGCCTGCTTCCAACTCAGAAAAAAAATTCCTTCACTTCAAGAGCGCCGATACTCAAAGTAAGCAAACACGGTTTGCAACCTAACCCGGTGTGCTTCCGTTACGTAACTCGGTTTGGGTTTGCTTAGGTTGCTGTCTTCGGAGAAGAGTATCACTAATGTTATGATTTCAATTTTCGTCTTCTCAAACCGTATCGGAGTCAATTTCCATCTCAATAGTGTTTTTGAAAATAGTTTCTGGTTTAAGGAAATTGGGAGGGGCATTTTAGAGATGAATCGGATAGGACCCGAGGAAGACTGATAAATCTGTGTGCTTTGCTAATTAGGAACAATAACAGAATTCAAGTCTCGATTCAGACAGTTAAATGGCCAGTTAGATATTTCAGTAAGGAAAAAGCGTACGCTAACGTTTCACAGTTGTTTGTAGTAGTCTCAAACTGTATCGGATCTCATACAGTGGAACTGAAGGAGTTTGCCTTTCATATGCAAGAGATTATGATGCGTTGGGAAGCTCAAGCGTAAGGCCAGATCATTCTGTTATTTGCAAACGCCTTGATTTCTTGAAAGACCATTGAACAATAAAAGAATTCAAGTCGCGATTCAGACAGTTAAATGGCCAGTTAGATATTTCAGTAAGGAAAAAGCGTACGCTAACGTTTCACAGTTGTTTGTAGTAGTCTCAAACTGTATCGGATCTCAGACAGTAGAACTGAAGTATCTTTATCTCACTCCCATCCCTCCCTACCCCCACCCCCTCGCCAAGTATCTTAGATCTCCATCTCTCCTTGAATTTGGCTTTTTTCAGGCTAAAATTCTCGGCGAACCCGGTCAACTTGAGCATTTAATACCTGTTGATGATCAAATGTGAGGGATGGGTTTAAGGGGCATCCAGGGCAACCTAAACGTGCTTAGTTCAAATCATTGATGTAAGGAATTTGTATCGAGACAGGTTAATTTAACAGAACTTTTGGGAACGTTTCAAAGAAATTGCGCACTGCATTGTACAACCCATACGAAGTTTTCAAATTATTTATTTTAAGGTGAGACTCGAGGAATAATTCTTTTATCACACGCCAGCCGACACACGCCATGTGATCGCACTTGCGTTGAATGTACTTAGAGTGTTCTGATTGGTCAAAACATGTGGGGTGTCGGAGGTGTGTCAACCGGTCGCAGTCTTGATTTTGACAGCAAATGCTAAATTCAAAGAAACGTATGAAGACGAAATATGTTTGGGGTTGAGTGAGACTCGCATAACACTCACTCGTTTGTGCTTCTAGTCTTTCTGAACTAAAACTCTGTTTGGACTTCGTCGACCAACTAGAAAACTTTGCTTTGCTTTGAAAAAGAAATTGATGCATGCCCTTATGTTAGCCAGTTGTTTTAGTCAACGTTAGATCAATGGAGGCCACCTCGTTAAGTTCGTTCGTAAAAAGTACCGTTGCGACCTCGTAATTTTCGTGGAATATGAATTTTGAGAGAGATTGAATAGGCTGTTTCACCGGGTCCCATCCACCCTTTGAATTTTGAGTAACAGAATATATTAAATAAAATTTTAAAATCAAGCACATGAGGGTGTTTGTAGCTCACAAATTTTCTAAGTTAATTTTAAGCAAGATAATTCCACATTGCTTGACCGAGCTTAACCAAGTCTGTAATTTGTGTGGATGAACCATTTTAAATTCGTTCTTCATATTTTGATGCAAATTTGTCAGATTTGTCTCATTGTGAATTAAATGTTAAACTGGTGGTATCCCTTCTTCGCCTGTGTTTTCCTCTTTTATCACAGGGGGCCCAGACAAGCGACGAGTCTGGTTGTTTATTCGAAATATAAAGGAATGTATAGGAGAATATTAAAGAGTCTTATTATCGTAAACTTATATCATGAAATGTCTGAGTTAAAGCTCAAAATAAATGTAAACCTACCTCACTTGCTGTGTATTGTCGTTTCTGTGGCTCTAAATGGCGAATTTGAGCGAAATGGCTCAAATTCAAGGTAGGTTTACATTTATTTTGAGCTTTATCTCAGACATTTCGTGATATAAGTTTACGATAATAAGACTCTTTAGTATTCTCCCATATATTCCTTTATACTTCGAATAAACAACCAGACTCGTCGATTGTCTTGGCCCCCTGTGCTTTTATATCTTCGGATTTGAAGTCAGCCCTACATATCAATGTAAACAATCTTTTTATTTGTGTGATGCAGTATTGAACTAGTGTAACGCAACTTACCGTAAGTCACGCGGACGTGATCTGGCCTATCGATGTGGCAAGCAGTGTCATGTTAACGGAAAGCGAAGCTCAACTCTTGAGACTTTTTTCGGCAGATGATCCAAAAAGTAGTGTGCTAACGACAAATGTGAAGGCATTTTCAGCGCAACGGGGCAGAGAAATGGAATATTTAACATGCACAACACTCCCAAGAACGTAAAATATTTGAATTGTTAGCTAAACGCATTTCCAATCTTCAGCGCTTTAACTTTCTTGGAGTTGAATGTTTATGTCATAGAGCTTAACTTATTGATGACTTTTGCTGCGTTTATTTCCGATCGGGATAAAAATATAACATTGTTTTGAGCTGATAAGGTCACATGAGTTTTGCACGTGAATGAAACATGATGATCGTAAACAGAAAACAACATGGGTTGACATTTGACATTTCGAAATGTTCTTTTGTTTTTGATACTGCACGATTATATTAGAAATGAATGCTTTTGTTGTCTTGATGCAGAGAGACTGAATTTGGTGTTATTTGAGTAGTGCCTACTGCGAATTTCTATGAGAAAGGGCTCTGGACACAGGGGATTGTGGTTGATGTACTGCTTCCACTATTGACGTCATTCGCGAAATTTGAGTCAGCTATCGATATTGCAATCGCCTATAAGAATATATGTAAGCAAAAGATTTCGATATTAGTTGTGACTTTCCATCGCGATAGTTCCTTCGTGAGGTTTTGTTTGCAGACTCAACCGTAGTATTCCAGCTCCGCTGTTTGCATACAGAGTTTGAATTTCCAGCGCACAATGAAAGGTCGCAGGCCTAGCACCCGAAGCACATCAAGTCGAACTGGACTTGTTGATTCTCCTGGAAGAAAGATACTCTCTGAGGTCCTTCTTGTCTGTGAGCTGCTGATGTTCATTACGCTCACAGCTCTAACTGGTGGTAAACCGCCTTCAACATCGACAAATAGTCAGAAAAAACCACCTCAAGTACGTAAGCCATGAGTACACTTTTAATTTGTATTAGGCATAACCATTGAAACAGGTTTTGAAGTTCACATTTTAATTCGTAATTTGTTTTGTTCAGTCGGGAGAAGCATAAACTCGCTTGGGTTGAGTTCTCCGAGTTAAGTATTTCAATAGAAACAAATTGTATTTTCCACTATTTCGTGATATCTAAATAAACAATCTAAGGACTTGATGAAATTAATTCCGACACATACGACCGCAATTTGAGATTTCACGCAATCTAATTAATACTGCAAAGTTTCCATCGTCTGTTCAAACAAAAGATATGCACCTGACCTTTTGTAAACGTTTTTCATGCAGATTAGGAATTACATTCATTGTTTAAGGAGGTCGCTAAAAACCTGAAAACCTAATTAATGAGAGAAAGCAAGAGGGCTTTTCGCAATATTTTTCCACAATATATCGTATTAGTTAATCCCACTAAGTACTCTACTAGTAATAGCTCTATGGTAGCGAAAAGACTCTAATTAGCCTTTGTGGTACACAAAAGTAAGTGTATGTACAAATAAATTGGATAAATACGCATCTGGGGGTATTTTCTAACGGCATATACTGCCAGCTGTACCTGAAAGGATTAAATACATCAAGCTAACTAAGACATCGTGGATGTCATATCCCTTCAAGATGTCAATACCTTTGTACCTAGGATTTGTTTGATCATGCGGATCCTAAATATTAAGAGACATATGTCAAAATGTCCATCTATTCTTACATATTTAAAACTGTTTCTTTGGGAAGCTTTTGGGAGTTAGTGCAGAAAATTTGTGCTGGAGTCAAAGGGGTTCAAGAGAAAATGGTACATTTGTGACAAGATACTCAGTGTTTCTAAATATAGTTGTGAAAGAGTGATGTCCCGTTAAGCCTGCTATATTGGTTTTTTTATCTGAACATCACTTAAACAACTTTCTCCATATGGGAGGAGTGAGCAGCTATGCTGTTTGAGATATAAAGCCCATACGGCAAGCCAACTACAACTGATATGCCTTTTTGCCCATGTTTGCAGTGTACAAGAGTGGCTCTTTATTTCTATGTCATCTAATGAGTGACTTAGTCATGCAAATTTTCCATTTTGTTTTGCAGGGAAGATAGCTAAACAAACATGGTCCAACAGCAGCTAGATGACATTGTGGTGGCAGGCATGGCGTGCAGGCTTCCAGAGTCAGACAATGCAGAGGAATTCTGGTCACATCTGATGAACAAGGAGGATATGGTTACAGAGGATGATCGACGCTGGACGCCTGGACTTCATGGCCTGCCAAAATGTAGTGGAAAACTCAAAGACATAAAGCACTTTGATGCAACCTTCTTTGGTGTTCATGCAAAGCAAGCCCATAGAATGGATCCTCAGTTAAGAATCTTACTCGAATTAACATATGAAGCACTGATTGATGCTGCTGTTGATCCCCAGAAAGTTCGTAATTCCAGGACTGGTGTCTTTGTTGGTGCCAGTGGCTCAGAAGCTTTTGAAGCCTTCAGTGCAAACACTGAAGACATTGTTGGCTATGGTATGACTGGTTGTTCCCGTTCCATGTTTGCTAATCGTGTGTCATTCACATTTGACTTTAAAGGACCAAGCTTTGCTATAGATACTGCTTGCTCCTCGTCACTGCTTGCTATGGATTGTGCAGTGCAAGCGATCAGATCAGGAAGTTGTGATGCTGCTATGGTGGCTGGTGCGAGTCTTACATTGAAGCCAAACACTTCAGTAGACTTCTTAAGGCTCAACATGTTGTCCCCTGATGGTGCATGTAAATCATTTGATGTGAGTGGTAATGGATATTGTCGTTCTGAGGGTTGTGTTGCCATTTACCTAACCAAGAGATCTGTTGCCAAGAGGATTTATGCTCATGTTATTAACTCAAGAACCAACTCTGATGGCTACAAGACACAAGGTGAGGATATCAAAGGTTTCATACTTGTACTGTTGACAGATCAGACTGTGACTGCAGCTCTAATGTTTACCTTTTTTATTCTTGTGTATAATGAATATCAAACCTTTTTTATAAAATATTGATGAAAAACTTAGGAACTTAGAATTTACATGTAGATTGATTGGTGAAAACTTTGGAGAAGAACTTTTAAGCAACTGAGATAGAATTTCAGCCTGCATTTTTTTCTCACTAATGGATGAAAGCGACATTTCCACACTTTAAAATATCTTGACTTTACCACTGAAGCTTAATTTTAGTAATCTGTTCATGTGTGTGTTAGGTGTAACCTACCCAAGTGGAGCTATTCAGAAGCAACTGCTGGAACAGGTGTACCAAGAAGCTAACATAAACCCAGCAGATGTTGTGTATGTTGAAGCACATGGCACAGGCACCAAGGCTGGTGATCCTGAAGAGCTGAACTCGCTCACATCTGTCTTTTGTGAGAAACGTGCACCTGAAGCAGGACCCCTCCTTATTGGCTCAGTTAAATCCAACATGGGGCATCCTGAACCAGCATCAGGATTGTGTGGAGTGACCAAGGTGTTGCTTGCCATGCAACATGGTATCCTCCCACCCAACCTGCATTTCAACTCGCCAAATCCGGACATTCCAGCTCTTCTTGATGGTAGACTTAAGGTTGGTGACTCCATTTCTTTGTAAGGAATCAAGAATAGGAGAGAATAGTGAAGAGTTTTTTGCTCTTCTACCCCCTGATAGTAGGTGTTGTTGGGTAAAAATGAGTACTTAGCTGTGAGAGACAAAGAACAGGGGATCTTGAGGAGTGTTAAATTGATTGGAGTTGAATTGGTAATGCACTCGAAGATCCCCAAAGAAATGGAGAAACCTGTATAACTCACTAGTGGTATTAAATACTTACCAGATGTATGCCAAGAAAGGAATGAAATAGATGGTAGGAAGATGCTGTAGTATCTGTAGAAACTAATAACCTAGGTCAATTTTAGGTTGTTACAGAGCCCTTGCCTTGGAATGGCGGCCTTGTTGGAATAAATTCATTTGGATTTGGTGGATCCAATGTTCATGTTATCTTGAGGTCCCCAGATGCACCCAAACCTAAAGTATATCCAAAGCCCACCCTACCAATAGTGATCCCTGCATCAGGAAGGACTGAAGAATGTGTAAAGAAAATGTTGCAGTTTGCAAGAGAGAATATTGAGAGTAAAGGTCTGTTGACCTTGCTAACAGAGGTTTCATCCACACCCTTGAATACTTTCTCACATAGAGGCTATGCAATTGTTGGTGGTGAGAACGATGTTGAAGAAGTCCTCAAGCTACAGTCGAATCAGCGTTCCATATGGTATGTGTTCTCTGGCATGGGCACTCAGTGGTCTGGTATGGGAGAGAAGTTGATGCAGATTTCAACATTCAGTGAATCTATTCACAAGACTGCTGACATTTTGAAGGAGTTTGGAGTTGACTTAGTTAAGATTATTACCAAGAGTGATGATGAGACATACACCAAAACCATCAACTCCTTTGTGGGACTAGCATCCATTCAGATTGCCCTGGTTGATTGCTTGAAAGCTTTGGGTGAGCTTTACTATTATTTTTTTCTCGTAAATTGGAAAAAGGTTTTTAGTCAGTTCATACCAGAAGTTTGAAATCAGACCCTAGGCCGTTTACCCGCACGGCCTACTACCCGCACCGGCCGATTATTGCATACGGCGAAAACAAAGTCAACAGATTGCCCGCACTGGTGGATAACCTGCACCTTAAAAGCAAAGAAAATTTGTATAAAAAGGCTCTAGAATTAGAATTCACAAAGTTTCATACTTGACAGAATGCGAATGCGTGACCATGTGGGGAATCTAATTGCCGGCCCCAATTCCCTGTGACACTGAAGACTCGCGTTGTAGAATTAAACGTTTTTAATAATCTTAACAGCTACTCCCAACGTGCTTCTAAAAGCCCATCTACATTTCACATGATTCGAAATTCGATCCTTCAATCACTTAGCAGCATGAAAGCAAAAGTAACGATTATTAAAGCTGTAACACAACATGTCACGCAGTCAAAACATTTCTTACACCCTCCCCCTATTAAAGCTCGAAATAACTTTGTAATAACTGGCTACTGAATTAAGCACACTGCTCAACGTGTCCTCTAAAATCAGAATGATTGCGGAATAAATGAGAACTCGTTCAATTATAAATGCATAGAATAGTTCCGATATTGAGTTCCTAGCGTGACGAACTGTCACACAACGTTCTTCGCAACTTCAACTACAGGAGGTTTGGCGTCGGTTCTTCAATCCTCCTCGTTCTCGTTGGCCATTATTCCTACCAAACGATCCGCTGCTGCGCGCCTTGCTTGTCGCCCTGCCCTAACCACCTGTCGCTGCTGTCGAACATCGCTGCTCGGTCCGGCGTTACTCTCAGAGGAGTTGGAGTCATTACCTACACCACCGATTTCCAAATCGCATACCAACTGTTGGGGCCTCTTGATGACGTACCCACTGCCAGTTAGGATCTTGTATCCTCTGGTGACTCCATCCTTTCCAACGATTGGGTTAACGATACGCCCAACTTTCCAGGTTGCTTTGTTCTTCGTCGTGTCTTTTATCAATACCAGTGAACCCTTTTTCATACAAGTCGTGCCATGTCGTGTTTCGGGCCGAGAGTTGAATCGCTCCTGCAAGGAGTGAAGGTACTCATTTAGCCAACGTTTACGGACGTTATCTCGGCAAGCCTTCAAATATCTTAGTCGTCTGGTCATCTCTTCCCTGTCGCTCATCTCATCGCAATTTTCTTCAAGGTAAGGTACTGGTTGCCCACGCAACAGTAGATTTGGTGTGATTACCGGTGTTTCAAATTCTTCTCCCATGTAGCAAAGGGGTCGGTTGTTCAGGAATGATTCCACGTCCAACAAAACCTCAAGCTCTTCAAATTTCAACAACGCTCGTCCGATTGCTTTAGAAAGAGCGTTCTTCGTGATGCCAATCAACCTCTCGAAGAATCCGCCCCACCACGGCGCGCGGGACATGTTAAATCTCCATTTGATCTCCTTTGTGGCTAGATAGTTAAAGAGGTTCTCGTCTTTCTGTAGGGTCGATAGCCATTTTTTTATCGCTTGGAAGGTCTTGGCGTTGTCACTGACTATGAGATCTGGCGCTCCTCGTCGCACAACGAACTCTTTTAGGCCTCGTTTGAACTCATCGGCTGTCATGTCCTTACAAAGCTTCAGGTGTACAGCCCTTGTACTTGCGCATGTGAACAGCGCGACATAAGCCTTTCCAGTCTCGCTTCCAGATTTGTACATGAGTGGCCCAGCAAAGTCTACTCCAGTGACGTTAAACGGTTCGGTGAATTCTGTTCTGAACGTCGGTAAGGCTGAGGTGGGTGGAGCATTTAGGGCTGTCGCGCGGTATTTCTTGCAATAGTTACAACTACGTTGAACACTCTTAACCATGGATCTCAGTCTTGGAACCCAATACCTCTGGCGCACTTTGTTCATGGTCGCTGCCACTCCCCCGTGCAAGGTTTGTACATGGTTGTGCTCGATGATGCGACGCGCGAACGTTGCTTCTCTCGGAATGAAGATGGGAGTATACCCCTGGATTCTTTCGTTGCACCTAATCAATCCATCTTCATCTTTGGCTAGTCTGAGGTCAGTTTTCATGTTACATGTCTCTTGTGTGATCTGAATCCATTTTTTCTCTGCTTCCCCAATTTCAGACTTGGTGATTGGTCCAACCCGTCTTGATTTCTTGCAACCATCTCTGAATCGATTCACATATGCCGTTATGCGTAGTAACTTCCAGTAAGGGAACTTGTTCAACAGACCCTTTGTCCAGTCTTGACGGCTCCATGCGCTTTGTCCTCAGCCAGTAGCAAAGTTTCTTTCTTCTGTCTCTCCGCTTTAGCCTCATTTGTTTCCAGAATGGCTGGTTGTTCAGGTCTAGCGGACTCATCCGATAGCCAGCTTGGTCCCCTTAGCCAAAACTCTTTGAGCTTGTTTGACGCTGATCCTCGTGTACCAAGGTCACTGGGATTCTCCGTCGTAGGGACGTACCTCCAAGTTCCTGACTCTGTGAGCTCACCAATTATCTTCACTCGATTGCGTACGAAAGTTGTCCACTCTCCACGAATCGCCAGCCAGCAGAGTACAGTAATGCTGTCCACCCAGTTATGGTAGGCTGTAATGGGAGAGGAAGCCAATGCTCGTCTTACGTTGTTTTCAAGTTTTGCCAACGTGTGCGCGACGACCAACTCCAGACGCGGGATGCTCAACCCTTTTGGCGCAACCCTTGATTTCGCTGCGAGTAAGTTCTGGTCTACGGGTGTCGATTCTTGATATGAAACAATGTACAACGCAGCACAAACAGCAACTTTGCTCGCATCCGAAAAACCATGAATCTCAAAGTGAGTTCGATTCTGCTGGAAAACACAGCGAGGTAATATCAAGGTTGGTACTTGTTGCAGGCTGTTTCTCCATGATTTCCATTCTCTTTGAATTTTGGCTGGTACTTCTGTGTCCCAATGTAACTTCAGAAGGCATACTTCACTGAAAAGGAGCTTAGCAGTGATAGTGACCGGAGAGCCCCACCCTAGCACGTCATAAATGCTGTTGATTGCTGAAATCATTTTTCTCTTTGTCAGAGGTTTGTCCTCCTTTAAGCAAGTTTTGAAGTCGATACTCAGTGTGTCGCGCGCCTTGTTCCACAGTGTACCCAGGATTTTAGTTTCTCTGTTTCCTCTATTTCCCACTAGACTCTTAGCGTACGTCTCTTCTCCTTCCGTCACTTTCTCAGCTGAGTTTAGTTGTTCCACGTTACTGTGCCATTTGTGCAGTGTGAAACCGCCCTCTGACATTATATAGGAAGCCTCTTCTTTAAATTTAGCCGCGTCTTCTTCCACATCGCCTCCCCCTTGAATGTCATCAACATAGGTGTCTTCTAAAAGCGCCCGCGCTGTGGTCTTGAACGCTTCGTTGTAACCTTTGATGTGCATCTGTAAAGTCGCCCCAAGGATGTACGGACTCGACGTGGCTCCGAATATCACTCGCGTAAAACGGTACTCCGCCATGTTTCTATCCGTTAGGTTGTCGTACCATAGGACCCGCTGTGCATCTCTATCTTGCTCGTGTACCCGAATTTGGAGGAACGCTTTCTGAATGTCTCCGGTAACACAGTGTTTCCGCATCCGGTCCCGGAGGAGAATGTCAAACAGGAGAGGCTGTAGTGGCGGTCCAGTCTCCAAACAATCATTGAGAGAGGGGGTCTGGATGTTGGCCCTTGATGAACAATCGTAGACAATTCTCATCTTTGTCGTTTCTGCTTGCTCTCGGATGACTGCTTGGTGGGGAATGAAATGTACTTCCTCGCCCGTTTTATAAGGGGGTACAGGTTCCATAATTCCAGCGGCCACTTGTTCCTGCATTATCTGATCGTAGTCCTCCAGCTTCCCCATTCTCTCTAGTTTCCTGGTTTTACTTTTCAGTCGAGCCACTGACAGGTTCTTGTTAGTCGGAAGTTGTACATGATCCTCTTTCCACGGCAACCTTGTTTCATAAAATCCCCCTTGCGTCTTATTTAGCTGCCGGAGAAAATCTTCATGTATGTTCTTGTTCTTGGTTGTCCTTGTATCGATGAGCCCTAAGACGTCCAGCGAGCACAGCTTCTCAAACTCTTCTTGACCCGTCGTGAGAAGGAATTGCTTTTCTGCTGTGACACCTTCTGTAACTGGTCGACTTTCATAAACAGTCCAACCAAGCATCGTGAATTCTGCGCCCGGATCTTTATCAGGATTCGCCCCCAGGATTAACGGTTCTGTAGTGCGGATCCTTTGGTAGTCTGCTGCCCCCAGAATGACATGGACTGGCATTGTGTCGCCTCTTGTCGCCTCCTCGGTGAAGGTTAATCTCCTGAATCTGCCGCACTGTTTCTTTAGGGCCTTGATGTTTGGGTTTGGCAGGTGAGTCAGTACGTCATTTTCGGCGTTAATGCATTCGACGTCAATAGAAAACCCTTCGACGGCAAGTGAACGTACGGTAACATTGTATAATTCTACGATTTTCCGCATTGTCCCGAACATCTGCTGTATGCAGCGTTGCTCCTTCCTCGCAGGTTTCAAGTTAAGTTTTGTTATTACATCCGTGCACAAATAGGAACTCCCGGCGCCCGAATCAAACATCACACGCACTTCCTTTTCACCGATTTTCGCTAGTACTGTGGGATGAAGGGTACTGGCGTGGTTCATGAGTGCACTCATACTCTTCTCATCCCTCGGATTCTGAAATTGATCAAGTGTAGATTTCTCTTGGTCGCATATCGAGGTGTGATGTTTCCGGTTACAGTTCTTACATCCTCTTGACTTGCATTGTGTCACGCCGTGACCTCCACCAGTGCAGTTCCAACACAATCCACTCTTTTGCAATATAGCTCGTCTAGCGGCTATGCCAAGTACTTTCGTACAGTTAAGGCTATTGTGCTCTTGAGAGTTGCAGTACACACAATTTAGTCTGCGGCCTGGCTTTCCCCCATTGTTTCCGAAAAGAAGCTTTTCGGGCCTTTCCTTTTCTTTTATCCACGGGCGATGCTTGAAATCTTCTGCCCTCCTTTTGTTGTCTTCGCTGTCTCTCAAGGGGTTTCTCTCTATGTACCTCCGTAAGTTCTCCACGAGTTGTTCCAATCCCCACTCCTCCCAGTCGTCATCCTTTTGAACAAGTATTTCTCGCACCGGACCTAGCTTATCCATCAGCGTATACACCATGCTTTGAGCGGACGCTAGCTTTTTCATTGTATTAAGGGTGCGAACCACTCTTGAGAGCTTGTTGTAGAAATCGTGAATGATCGCGATCCTGTGAATGTTTGATATGGCCGGAAGTTCCTCCATCTCTTTTATGAGCGCCTTGTGGACCTTGATATCCTTTCCATATGTTTGCTCTAAAATCCGCTTCGCTTCGCCGTATCCATCCTCTGTGTGCGGCAGCCCGAGGATGTCTTCTTTTAGCTTGCCTTTTACTAATTCCAAAAGGTAATTGAATTTACTTATTTCTGAGATCGCGGCACCATCCACTTCGACCGTTAATTGGTTCCAAAATCGTAACCAATCTTTATAATCGCCGGAAAAGGGTGTTATTGTATATTTCTGTAATTTCACTGATTGCGGCGCAGTGGTGTTTTTCCCGGCTTTCGCTTCTTCCATTCGTTGTAACTGACTTTCTGTAATTTCCTTTTCGAATTCCAGCTTTTTTCTGTACCACTCCTCTTCTCTTTGGTTTTGAAGAAAAATAGCCTCCTCAATTTCCTTTTGTTGATGCAATTTGAGCTTCGTTTGCTCTTCGTTCACCTTGTGTTGCTTATACAATTGCTTCTCGAGTTCCAATTCTGTTTCTTTACCTGCGATCTCCTCCATTTTACCCTTTATTTGGTCGCGTACTTTTCTGAACGCTGAAATGTCGTCTTTGTGATCCATTGTCCATTGTTTGATGTACTCCAGGTGTTTGTCCGTCTCCATCAAGTAATCGGCGGTCGCATCCTTTGATTTTTCCAAACGCTTAATCAATTCTCCAATCTGCTCGTACGCCCCAGAAATATCCTCTGCGTTTCCATTCGCTAAGATTTCCATGATTTCGTCCAGTTTTAGCTTCGCTACTTCCAGCTGTTTCCTAAATTTGTCCTCCGTTTGAGCCATGCTGAATTGAACAATAATTTTCCACTCGCTGCCACGTGTGTTGATTCCCGTTCGAAGAAATAATCTTGTGATCCTGTTAAGTCCCAGTGAGTCCTGGCAGGGTCGCCACCTTTCAGTGTGGGGAGTCTAATTGCCGGCCCCAATTCCCTGTGACACTGAAGACTCGCGTTGCAGAATTAAACGTTTTTAATAATCTTAACAGCTACTTCCAACGTGCTTCTAAAAGCCCATCTACATTTCACATGATTCGAAATTCGATCCTTTAATCACTTAGCAACATGAAAGCAAAAGTAACGATTATTAAAGCTGTAACACAACATGTCACGCAGTCAAAACATTTCTTACAACCACAGTTTGTGCGAGCGATCGTTCAGCGCCATGTTGATTTGTTGATTTCTCAAAGATATCGATATCTCTGGTTCTACTGAGCCTAACAAGTCCCTTAAAACGGGAAAATTCCCTTCTGCTCAAGCTTGTGTTACCGTAACTGGAAATTTGTCACCGATGCGCCGGGTATCCTCGGATTATTTTTGTCACCATCAAGGTTTTGTTTACACGCGTGCCGATAAAAATTTGTTCGTCGTGCATGAAATAAACTAGAGTCGGCATGTTTTCGTGCCGCTTTGTGGCACTCTTAATACAATAAAATTCATTTGAGAGGTGGAAACGCAGGTGGGTGAGTGCTTTTTTTTAATTCAACTGCCTGTAGATTTCAAAATTGTCACATAACCTCCACCTCTCTATTACCCGTAGTGGCGCGTGTTCAAGGCAAAACCAACAGATTACCCGCGGGTAAACGCCTGGAAATTACGGTAGTTCTTTGCCCATCATTGTTGGAAATAACTTCAAAAAGTACCTAACAGTATGACTATTTGGAAACAGCGATCCTCATCGTTACTTAGGACTTGTTTTATTATCGCCATGTATCGTTGGATGCCTTCTGCTCATGTTTGTCCTTAATTTTGGTTTCAGGAATAACCCCAGATGGAATAGTTGGACACAGTGTAGGAGAGCTAGGCTGTGCTTATGCTGATGAAAGTTTTACTGCTAAGGAAGTAGTTTTGGCTGCTTACTGGAGAGGTGAGGTTCTTTAATGTTATCGGATAGGCTGAGATCAATTTTACTCATGACAATCTTTCAATTAGAAAAAGACAGACGTGTTAAGTTTATGGAAACAGAAGTTTTATACAGGTTGTTTTGTTTCGATTCAGGTCGTTGTATCCAGGAGGCTAAACTTTCTCCGGGAGCTATGGCTGCAGTGGGTCTCACTTGGGCAGAAGCCAAGAAGAGGTGTCCTGAAGGTGTTTGGCCAGCCTGCCACAATGCTGAAGACACTGTCACAATCTCTGGTGATGCTGCAGCTGTCAATAAATTTGTGCAGGAGTTAAAGGGGGAAGGAACCTTTGCAAAGGAAGTGAACACCTCTGGTGTTGCATTCCACTCCAAGTATATGGCTCTTATTGCCCCAATGCTCAAGGAGTCGTTGCTGAAGTTCATTGTACCAAAGAAGAGGTCACCACGCTGGATAAGTACATCTATTCCTGAAGACAGCTGGGACACTGAGTTGGCAAAGTATTCCTCTGCAGATTACCATGTGAACAACTTGGTTAGCCCAGTTCTGTTCCAAGAGGCACTAGAAAAGATCCCAGCTGATGCTGTTGTCATTGAGATTGCACCACACTGCCTTCTTCAGGCCATTCTCAAGAGATCTCTCAGCCCACAATCTGTAAACATCCCTTTAATGAAAAGGAAACATCCAAACAACTTGGAGTTCTTTCTGACAGGCCTTGGCAGACTTTATGCCAGTGGAATTAACTTTGATCCAACATTGATTACTACAAGCAAGGCATCATTTCCTGTCCATGTCTCAACTCCTTCTATTGCTCCTCACATGGGATGGGACCATTCTCAGGAATGGGATGTTCCCACAATGAGTAGCTTCCAGTTCAGTAGCAGTGGTGGTACAGCAACATCTTGCAACTTTGAGATTGACATATCACCATCATCAGTAGACAAGTACCTTGAAGGACATTGTATTGATGGGCGAGTCCTTTTCCCTGCTACAGGTTACTTGGTCTTGGCCTGGAAGACCCTTGCCAAATCTGCTGGGCTTCTTCTGGAACACACTCCAGTCGCCTTTGAAGATATAACTATCCACAGGGCTATAATTCTCTCAAAGACTGGTTCAGTGACTCTAACAGTGCGTCTCATGCCAGCTTCCAACAAGTTTGATGTGTCTGAAGGAGACAGCCTAGCAGTGTCTGGCAAGATCTTCATGCCAGAATTGCCTGCATTGAGTGAAGGCTTTAAGGCAGCTCCTCCACCAGAAGGAGATGTGCACTTGACAGCAGACTGCATCTACAAGGAGCTTAGGTTGCGTGGTTATGACTATGGACCTACTTTTCAAGGAATTTTGGGAGTAAACAGTTCAGGTTGGTTCTCCGTCTTCAATCCAGCTTTTGAGTCTTTTCTACTTCAATCCTTTGTAACTAACATGTCCTTTCTCAAGGCGATCTTTTAAGGTTAAATTCCCATTGCATGATGTTTATAAAGAGTTGAGATGCCATACCAGGGACTAGTAACGTTATCCTCTGTGTAAAAAATATGTTTTTGTTTATCACATATTGTTTTGATCGATGAAACTTAAACTTTCCACACGACAGCCACAAGGACAAAAATTGCAAGAATGCCTCAGTGTCTTGCATCGGGAAATCTAACCTCATTGTTTTTTTTTAGGCACAAAAGGTGAACTCAAGTGGACAGGAGAGTGGATATCATTCCTGGACACCATGCTTCAATTGTCAGTTCTAAGACTTCCTGGACGAGGATTGAGGCTGCCTATCAGACTACGATCACTACGCATTGACCCAGCCATCCACCTCGAGAAAGCAAAAGAAGGGACTTGTGAGGTAAAGGTTGATCCAAAGATGGACCTGGTTGTGGCTGGTGGTGTAGAACTCAAAGGTAACCTTAGAGCACAAGAAACATTTTCTTGATTCTAATGTTTTGTCAGTTTGGTAGGGTTTAAGTTGTGAGAAGAATCTAACTTTGATTCATCTGAAGTTCAATCGTGGGGTTTAATTGAGCAAACACAATAATATATAGATTTAGCCAAGCCTAAAAGCGGAGCTTCCAATAAGTGAAAATTTTGCAATCAAATTTCTTTACATATATTAAAAATTTTTAGCCAATAATTCATTCAGTGTAAATTAAATTTTGCAAAAAAATTCAATTTAATATTATATAGAAAGCCGTAATTTGGCCCTAAATTAACGGCGAAATTTTTTAGTTTGTAATAATTTTCCAAACCAAAAATTTCGCCGTTAATTCACGGCCAAATTTTTCGCGAGATTATTGCAAAGACATAATTTATTTCACCGTTAATTCACGGCTAAATCGAGTGTCATATATGTTTCAAACCAAAAATTTCGCCGTTAATTCACGGGTAAATCGAGTGTCATATATTTCAAACGTAAAAATTAGCCGTTAATTTTCGGCTAAATCGAGTGTCATACATATTACAAACGCAAAAATTAGCCGTTAATTCACGGCTAAATCGAGTGTCACATATATTGAAACCAAAAATTTCACCGTTAATTCACAGCTAAATCGAGTGTATGATATTTCCAGAAGGTCGTAGTAGTAGCAAGTATGATAAATATTGTAAGAAATAGACAACTTTTTTGAGAGACATGTTTCGGCATGCTTATGCCATCTTCAATCAATGAGTAACAGAACGTGAGTAATTATATAACAGACAAGTAGATGAATAAAATATTTACAGTATGATGTAATACAAAAGCGGGTACTAATTACAACGTGACACCAAACATCAAAGGTGTGAACTAAAACGCTAGAAAAGTGTTATAATGCTGTAATTGTTTGTTAAGTTCAGGTTTGATCTTATTTATATAAAAAGCTTCTTTGAGTTTTAAATCAATTGAGTTGTTAGCAGAATCCAGAATACTAAAGCAAGAAAGGGAGTATTTGTTCTTACAAGAAGGAGATGTGTTGAAATGCTTAAAAATATGCGAGTTTTTATCGCTTTCCGTGTGCTCCTTTATCCTAGTAGAGAAGTGGCGACTAGTTTCGCCAATATAACGGGAATTACATCCCGCACAAGAAAATTGATAAACTACCATGGATTTTAGAGCATCAGGAGTACGATCTTTAACACTGAACATGTTTTTAATTTTGAAAGAAGTGAAAACTAGTTTGATATTTAGGTCCGATTTACAAAAGCGCTTAGTGAGTTGTCGGAGTTTNAACGATCTTAAGAAACTTTCCGACACTTTAAAACGTAATTCTTTTCCTTCGCATATTATTGAAAGAACTTTCAAGCGGTATCTTGACGGGTCCTCCTCTCAAAATAGCCGGAACATTGATGACAATAATACACGTTACTTTAAACTCCCTTTTGTCGGCTATTATTCTAAAATAGCGAACCTCAAACTCCGACAACTCACTAAGCGCTTTTGTAAATCGGACCTAAATATCAAACTAGTTTTCACTTCTTTTAAAATTAAAAACATGTTCAGTGTTAAAGATCGTACTCCTGATGCTCTAAAATCCATGGTAGTTTATCAATTTTCTTGTGCGGGATGTAATTCCCGTTATATTGGCGAAACTAGTCGCCACTTCTCTACTAGGATAAAGGAGCACACGGAAAGCGATAAAAACTCGCATATTTTTAAGCATTTCAACACATCTCCTTCTTGTAAGAACAAATACTCCCTTTCTTGCTTTAGTATTCTGGATTCTGCTAACAACTCAATTGATTTAAAACTCAAAGAAGCTTTTTATATAAATAAGATCAAACCTGAACTTAACAAACAATTACAGCATTATAACACTTTTCTAGCGTTTTAGTTCACACCTTTGATGTTTGGTGTCACGTTGTAATTAGTACCCGCTTTTGTATTACATCATACTGTAAATATTTTATTCATCTACTTGTCTGTTATATAATTACTCACGTTCTGTTACTCATTGATTGAAGATGGCATAAGCATGCCAAAACATGTCTCTCAAAAAAGATGTCTATTTCTTACAATATAAATCGAGTGTCATATATATTCTAGACGCAAAAATTAGCCGTTAATTTTCGGCTGAATCGAGTGTCATTCATATTACAAACGCAAAAATTAGCCTACCCGTGCAATCTGAAGGAGTTATGTACTGTATCACACAACAGCCAAACCTCGTGGTTTATTTCATCCCATGATGCTTATAGTACTTTCGTGATAGCATACATGACAGGGGCACGTACCTACGCACGGTCAGTCACGTGACAACCAAACAAAGAGAGGTTGACCATATTCCATGGGTATGGGGCTCTGCCCCACGCGCGCGTGGGAGCCCCGCTATAATTTCTAACCATTAGTCCTTTATCACTTGCCAGGTCTTCATGCCACCGTAGCACCTAAAAAACAAGATGGACAAGTTCCCGTCTTGGAAAAGTTCACATTTGTGCCATATGTTGATGATCCAAAACCCACAAGCTCTATTTGTGAGAGTGTTAGTAAAGAAAGCTTCTTCGAAGCCATACAAGAGGGTCCTTTCTTGAAAGTCATGCTGGACACTGTCATCGAGAACAAAGTTGGCACTAATTTAAAAATTAGCGAAGTAGGTGCTGCAGAAGGGAAGACTTTTTTGCGTGCTGTGCCTTTGATAAGTCTTCATCCTGTGGTTGAACTTAACTACACAGCTACAGATAACACTGAAGAACTCTTGGCTAGCATTACTGAACTGCTCCCAGATGATTCCGTTCAGGTCTGCACTTGGGATGTCTCTAAGCAACCGCCAGGTGCTGTGAACAAAAGTGATCTTATCATCGCCTCCAATCTGATCCATATGACATCGGACCTTTCTAGTGCGTTGGAGAACATCAAGGCTGCTCTCAGCCCGCATGGTTTTGTTCTGCTACATGAAGTCACAGCTAGTTTGGAGGTAGTGCATGCTGTTTTTGGAAAGAACGGTTTCACTCCAAACGGACCAGAACAGAAGTATTTCCTGACGGATCAGCAATGGGTTATAGCTTTGCGAGGTGTTGGACTCAATGTAGTGTCAATGAAAAGGACCGGCTCCGTGTCAAGTCTCCTTCTTTGTAGGCTCACGAATACCTCAGAGGAGAAACCAGTCTTTATCGACGTCGACGAAACATTCGAGTTTTTGCCCAAGCTTCAGACTGCTATGGCGTCTGGTGACAAGTCACCCATATGGCTTCGTTCATTCGCTACGTCCCCTACGGGAATAGTAGGCATGACAAATTGCCTGCGACAGGAGTTGGGTGGAGAGAAGATTCGGTGTCTCTTCGCCAGCCCAGAAGAGAAAGCCAAGGTTATGGGACACTTCGAGTCATTGATTAAGTTAGATTTGGTCATGAACGTGTTCCAAGGTGGCAAATTCGGCTCCTATAGGTAGATAAACTCATTTTGTATTTCATACTAAATGTTCAATCTCCACCTTTAAAACTCCATTTTTATTTTGGTGATAATTTATTTGTTGTTACGAGTTTTAGTCACGCATTCAGATGAGATCTGAAAAACAGATCCGTGAAAATCTTAGCGAACCATTGCATTTAACGGCGTATCCATTCAAGTTCATTATTTCCTATCGCTCTTGTTAAATCTTCCTATCAGACATGTTCTTCTGGAGGACTCGCCAAGCTTAAGTGAAGAAACAGAGCACGCGTATGTGAACGTGCTGACACGTGGAGACCTCTCTTCACTTCGATGGATTGCCTCTCATCTGAAATATTCCCCAGGAACTCAAGGAACCACAGAGCTGTGTACAGTCAACTACACTTCCTTAAACTTCCGTGACATCATGCTTGCTACAGGTAAATTGCCACCGGATGCCCTTCCTGGAGACTTAGCACACCAGGATTGTATCCTGGGAATGGAGTTTTCTGGCAGAAATCAGAGGGGTGAAAGGATCATGGGATTGCTACCGGCGCAGGCTTTAGCAACCACGGTCATGGCAGATCAGCGGTTTACTTGGAAGGTAATTTACTTGTAAGGCAAATTTTAGCTGTTTAGGTGAATGTCTATCATCTGCATTTTACTCATCATCTCTCAAAGTGTTCTTGTGTGTATATTATCTACTCAATTGGCATACTTTGGTTTATAGGTACCTAAAACCTGGACGCTTTTGCAAGCAGCTTCTGTCCCAGTGGTTTACTCTACAGCCTTCTATGCTTTGGTTGTCCGTGCAAACCTCAGGCCAGGGGAATCAGTCCTTATTCACTCCGGATCAGGAGGAGTTGGCCAGGCAGCCATCTCCATCTGTCTTAAAATGGGTTGTGAAGTGTTCACGACAGTGGGAACGAAAGAGAAGAGGGAGTACCTGATGACGACCTTCCCTGATCTTAAACCCCACAATATCGGCAACTCTCGAGACTTGTCTTTTGAACAAATGGTAAGCTAGACGAGAAAAGAAAATCGGAACTTTGACACTACCGAGCTATTTGTTGAACAGTTTATATGCTTTTCATGAAACATACGGGAGCTAAACGCGAGCATTTTGACGTAGCATCTCATCGACAGAGGATGGATAATTCTGTTTGGGAGCGATAATAATTTGCAGCATTTTGACAAAACATCGCGTTTTCAAAAGCTCTGTGGCATTATTAGACTGTGAAAAATATCGGATGAGGAATAGCCGTGGAAAGTTGCTATAAGGATTTACTTTTCTTTCTTTCCACTCCTTTTATTTTCTTTTTCGAAGGTGGGAGGTGGAGTTGGGGAACAGGTCATGTCAACTTTCAACACCAAGTTTGCCATTCTCAATTGAAAAGGTCGCTTAAGTTTACCCTTCAATCATGTTTAGGTGATGCACAGAACTAATGGACGTGGCGTGCTCGTTGTACTCAACTCGTTGGCTGAGGAGAAGTTGCAAGCTAGTTTGCGATGCTTGGCGCGACACGGCCGCTTCCTTGAAATCGGAAAGTATGACTTGTCAAACAACACTCCTTTGGGCATGGCTTTGTTCCTTAAGAATGTGTCCTTCCACGGAATCTTGTTGGATGCTATTTTCGAGGAGGACAACCCGGAGTGGATCGAAGTGTCAAAACTTTTTACTGAAGGAATTAAATCAGGTAATTAAACAACTTCGAATATTAATTATTGAATTCTATTTTGTAAAAGATAGAGCAGAAACATGAACATTTGAGGGCCTTTAGGATTAAAAACGATATTTCTGTATTATCTTTACAGGTGCTGTACGACCTCTGAAAACCACAGTGTTCGATCGTGACGAAATTGAGCCCGCATTCCGTTTCATGGCTCAGGGAAAACATATTGGAAAGGTAGTCATTCAAGTCAAACCAGAAGACGGGTCCAAATCAGTGGTGAAACTTATGGCGCATGCGCGCAGCATGTGTGACCCCTGTAAGAGTTATGTAGTCACCGGAGGCTTGGGTGGCTTTGGTCTGGAACTTGCGCATTGGCTGGTTGAGAGAGGTGCGCGTTTTCTGGTTCTGACAAGTCGAAGAGGTAGGTGTCCCGCGGACTTGTAGCAATTTTGAAACAAATATATTTGTTTTTACTTTCAGCCCTGTTTAAGTTTAGTACGTTAAGACAAATAGAATTTAAATGGAGTGGAGCTTCTGGTAGTCGTTGACGAGCGCTATTTTAGGATTTTTAGAGAGCGATATTCAACAAGATTGAACACAGTTGATTGTTATTTTGTAAAATGGTTAGAATAAGGAAGTATTGTATGGCTAGATGTGGAAAACTGTTCTGTGCAATGCCTGGGTCATTTCCTGATGATTTTGTTTCTTGTTTGTTTGTTTGTTTGTTTTTGTTGTCACACGTTATGACGATGATATTTCTTCACAGGTATTCGCACTGGTTACCAGGCTCGTCGCGTCAAAGTCTGGCAGGAAATGGGTGTGAAAGTTTTCTCCCTAACAGATGACGTTGGCACAAAAGAAGGCGCTGCTTGTGTCTTGAAAAAGGCTCGCGAACTCGGTCCCTTGGGAGGAATCTTTCATCTGGCAGTTGTACTGAGGGATGGTATGCTCGAGAATCAAACCATAGAGGCATTCCAGGCGGTCAACAAACCCAAGTATCATGGTACCATATATCTTGATCAGCTGACTCGACAAAAGGATATCGCTAAGGAGCTTCATTGGTTCGTGGTGTTCTCGTCCGTTTCCAGTGGGCGTGGTAATGCTGGCCAGAGCAACTACGGCTTCGCCAACTCGGCTATGGAGAGAATATGCGAGGATCGTGTGAAAGAAGGCCTCCCTGGAGTCGCAATACAGTGGGGTGCTATTGGAGACGTGGGCCTTATTCAGGTATGTAACCCTTACTAGACCTCTTATAAGTTATAGGTGATAAGTGATAAGTTATCATCCCCTCGTCTTTAGCCTTTACTCCTGAACATCAGTATGCATATTATCCATACTCTTCTCCGTACATTTCCTAAGATACTGACGCTTAGGAATCAGCAGCTTGTTTAGTTGGTGATCATTTTCTCTATGGTCGTAACCTATGTTTAATCTGGCTGCTAATATTGCAAGGAGAAATTATTTGCTAGGCATTCTTTGGGATCAAAGGATTGAGCTCCACCCATCCTTTTGCCATACTGGCTTATTGGAACATCTGTGTTTGAGACAGAAAATAAAAAAAATGTTTTTCTCCCCCCTCCTCCCCCCCTCGGATTCTCCCTCAGTGGGCTGTCCAATTATAGTTGTATCATTTGAAAATGTTAGTCTTTCTTTTTGTATGTCTTAAGAGTTCTTCGTATGATGCACGATCCTCGCAGTAGATAGCGCTATTTAAGCAATAGCGAAAATCAGACCTGAAAAAAATCAGGCCTGTACGGGATTCGAACCACTGACCTCTGCGATACTAGTGCAGCGCTCTTACCAATTGAGCTAACAAGCCAACTGGGAGCAGGCCGTTAAGTTGATTCGTAATAAACCCGTGAAAGTGATAAATCAGATACAATGAAATTAGTCACAGAGATGCTAGTATCGCAGAGGTCAGTGGTTCGAATCCCGTACAGGCCTGATTTTTTTCAGGTCTGATTTTCGCTATTGCTTAAATAGCGCTATCTACTGCGAGGATCGTGCATCATACGTATCTAATACCGCAGTTCAAAATATATGAACCTCATATATTTCATTGTACTGATTAAGAGTTCTTGTTAAGAAAGTTATCAGTCTCAAAATTAACTTTTTTACTGTGCTTTGTTTGTCACAGGATACCATGGGCGGCTCAAACGAGACTGTCATTGGTGGTACACTTCCGCAGCGCATGAGTAGCTGCTTAGCGGTGCTGGACAGATTCTTATCGCAGGCTCACCCCGTGATGTCATCATATGTTTTAGCATCCAAGATAATGAGCAAGGGAGATAAGGGTTCTGGATCTGACCTGGTTGGAGCTGTAGCGCATATTCTTGGAGTGAAAGATGTTTCTACAGTCAACCCTGACACGACCTTAGCTGACCTTGGTAACATAGTTTGAAAATCGTTTTTAATGAGTGTAGCGTATTATGGTCTAACAGCTTCCTAGTAATATAATGTGGCTGATATGTTTAGACGTTGAAGAGATATATAAGGCCACGGAATTTTCAAACGATTTGAACACTAATTTAGAATGGTGAAGGTCGAGGAGAGAACGCAGAAAGAACGCAGAAACAACACCTTTTATCCTTTGCCAATGCACGGAAGATTATAAACAATTATTGGATGAGGTGTTTGTGACATCCGGAATAATCAAGGTCGAGGTGAGTGTTATCAGCCGAACCCGAAGGCCGAGGTGAGTGTTATCAGCCGAAGCCGAAGGCTGAGGCTGATAACACTAACCGAGACCTTGATTATTCCGGATATCACAAAAACCTCATCCAGTAATTGTTTAATTATACATTGTTTTAAAGAAAATAACACCAAATGCATTATCGCAGCGAACACAGTTTATTTTCGAACACTTAAAAATGTACAACTGTGTGGTAAACAAATTTTCACCGTTTTTATAAAACAGTCAAGTGCAGAAAAGTTAAATGCATTTCTAACGAAAGTATCATTGAAGAAAATTGTCGATCTTTTAGTATTTTCCGAATCTTTACCTTCAAGTAATTTCTCAATTTCTCGCTGGGTCGTTGAAGCGAATCGAGAAGCCATTCTTACTACGCTGTCCGTGAACTTGACATTGCTCCACCGGAAATCATGCATTGCGCGCGCAACCTCAGATTATTCACTTATCTGTAGGTACAGATTAGTGAATAATCTGTACGTTGCGCTGTTTCCCAGAATTAACTGTGGGCGTTTAGCCAATGAGAAGATAGATGGTGACTCCAATGTATAATAATCCTAGTTGTTTAAATGACTGTGTTCATGCCACTATGAGTTTAATAGTGTCCTCAGAGGCCATAGTCATTTTTAAGATTTAGACTCAATGAAACTGAGCCAAATTGGTTAAAAGGAGGGAAAAGGCTTAATATCATAAAACAACAACATTCTCACACGGTTTATTTCACTACAGGCCTTGATTCTCTTATGGGAGCTGAAGTCCGCCAAACCCTGGAACGAGACTTCGAAATTCAAATGAGTATGAAAGACGTGCGACTACTGACAGTGAATAAAATGCGGGAACTGACCAGCGGTGATGCACTCCAGGACTCTGAAAAGGCTACTGAGAAAGGAAAAACCATTGAAGCAACAAACGTTTACCTCCCAGAGATTGGCGAGCAATTATTGGTACAAATGAATGATGTGAAAAATGGGCAGAAACCGCTTTTTATGATCCACAATATTAATGGGACAGTAGAGCCGTTGCGTACCCTGGCTAACAATCTCTCTTGCCCTGTGCTTGGCCTGCAGTACTCCTTGACGTCCCCCAATGATTCGATTCAGTCTCTCTCAGCCAGCTATATTAAGTGCATCCGGGAAATTATCCCTCAAGGTCCTTACCGTCTGGCTGGCTACTCGTTTGGGGCATCTGTGGCAATGGAGATGGCGCTGCAACTGGAAAAGACAAACGAGGTGGAGAGCTTAATCTTATTGGATGGATCACACACCTATGTTGCAGCACATACATCGTGGCATAGAAACAGGTTGTCTCTTCAGCCCCAAGGGTCTTGGGAACCAAGAGCTGTGGCAGAGGGCCTGAGTGCCCTAGCACTGCAGTACGCACCTGTTGACAAAGCCAAGCTCGTAGAAGTTCTTCAGATAGAAACATCCATTGACAAACAAATCCAAGTAACAGCTGGCATAATCTCTGAAGCGAATCCAGCGTTGGACAAAGGGAGCCTTGTCAGGTTCATCACGAGCTTTATGGCTTTGTTGCGCATGGGTGAGGAATACAAGCCGGCTTTGCGTCTCCATGGCAACGTACATCTTGTTCGCGCCAAAATTGTAGACGAGATGGGCAGGAATCTAGGTGACGACTTCAGTCTGCGTGAGGTGTGCAGTGGTCAGTTGAGCGTGAACTGGGTCGAGGGTGATCACGAGTCTTTCCTTCAAAACGAGAGCGCCGTGGAAGTAGCGAACATTGTAACTAAGGCTTTGAGCAGTTGAACTTTATCGGGGTTACCATAGCGACGAAGGTTGCATAAAGCACCTAAGTAAACCAAAAAAAAAACAACAGGACAGTTTTGTCTGTAATGACACTAAATTTGAAGTGGTCAAGGGTAATTTCAAATAGAAGTGGATTTAAGTAGACTTGGTTTCAAAGAGTGTTGTGTTTGGATGGAAGCAGTATATATTACTTAGAAAATACTGGTAGTTGTGGTCAAAATTTAGTGTTTGTAGATCAAAGCCAATTACAGAGCTTGTCGTTCGTTGAAAGTGGAATTTGGAGTGGGATTGTAAATAATCTTCTTCCGATTATCTTATCGTTTGAACTAAATTATTCCACAGAAATTTGATATAAAAAAGGAAACCATAGAAAATGATATTTGAAATTTATACATGCTGCTTTTGCTGCAAAGGGTATTTATGCATTTTTTTGTCTGGGGTTTCTTATAGAATATTGGAAGAAGAAACACGAATGCTTATCGTTGGTTAGCTGTTATTGTAGGTACATAACAGTAGGGTCTTAATGAAATAAACTTTTTCAAAGAACATACGACCCCACCCAAATTCCCCCTCTTTCCTTCACCCTCCCCCCTNCCCCACACACACACACACACACACACACACAACACACACAACACACACACACCCAACACACACACACACACCTTGCTCCTCAGGATTAGAGGCTTGAGAATTCTATGGTGTTACGTTAAATCAAACGAGAATCATATCAACGATAAGTGGATCATAATAAAGGTTCAAGAAATTTATTGAAAGTTTATGCCTGTGATTATCTGGCTGCCCCTACTCCAACAGACAAGCGTTTTTCCTTCTCATCATTATTGAAGAGAGAAATGATAAAATGTGTAATTTGGCTTCTACTTTATTGCCACAAGTAGCGTCACGTACTCTGCAAAGGAACAACAACAAAAAACATTTAAAAGGAAAACCTAGCTATAGCACGCGCAGTCAATCAGATGATATCCACGCAAAAGTCTCTGGAGGAAATGTTTGCCTTTGATAATCGAACGTATAGAACTTATAACGCTGCTTCACCCGCGAGTAAGTTTCAGGCCTTGAGCAAGGCGAACTGGTGAGAGGTCTGCAGGTGATCTAGTAGTCTTGCACACATGACGTCGGGCTCGCATTGCTCCAAGTCCTAAACTTCTAGCAAGCAAAGAAGAGGGTGTTAATAAGCCCAGGTAAACTTTTTCAAAGACGACAAAATTGCACAAGCCTAAGTGCTCATTACATCAAATTGCACGAGAAATCATGTTATTACTTTTTACATGAAAAAAGCCCCGCAGGAAGTAGAGACAAACGAAATTTTGACAGCAAGCGCGCTATTTGTAATTTGCATTCGCGTTACAACTTTACACTCGTTTTCATCCAATCAGACGCGCGTAATTTTACTATGTACTTTATTACATGGAAAACGCACTCGTTTTAATCCAATCAGACGCATGTGATTTTTTTTTATGCATATGCATATCATTAAAGTTCTAACGGAATCGCTAACAATGAGGACCTGCTCAAAGGCTAAACAAAACCTTTCAATTACCTTCAAACAGGAAAAGGAAGTGGGAAAGTGGTACTTGTATCGGTTCTTCATTAAGATGTTTACATTTTGGGCGGAGAAAAGGGACATTCAGAAGTGCGTTTGCGTTTGCAAGTGCGCGCTATTGTTTACTTTAACTATAATAACGGTACTAGTTTTGAATATTGCGATTCGATTTTAACTTACAATTATTTGCATCACTGACGTGTAAAAACAAAGTTCAGTACATTGAGCTGATGATGGCATAAGTCATGCCGAAATAACTCTTTAAAAATTTCCTACTGAAAGTGAAATTTATTTTTATTATATTCTTATCACGAAGCTACGGAAGTATAGTAAAATAACATTTTTAAAGCAGAGTTATGTTTATTTCTACTTTTCTCGATTATCGAGGTATATGGTTAAACGAGTTGGTTGAAATTTTTTTCTTCATTTGTGATATGATGAGATCTTTCTAGTTGTAATGGGTAGCTCTAATTTAATGTTTCAGTTTTTTGTTATATTCGTCCCATACCATCCGTCAAGTTCTTCTTTGACAGTTGACATCTTTTCCTTTGTCGGAACTGACGCTTCAAGGTTTTGTTCAGGTGCTCAGCGAATTTTAAATAAAAAATCAGCTGCCTTCTAAATTTCGTTGGCTGATTTTTATTGTATTCGCAAAGAAAATTTACTTCGATCGTACGCAAGCATGTTTTGAAATTTACTTTGTTGCGGACTAGGAACGAACATTTCAGTGCTACAACAGTCATCGTAACACGAAGCAAACCATCACAATGATGCCACGAACCATCTCAATCCCTGTCATGATATGTATACTGGTTTTGATTGGTAGCTTCCTTTGTATGCTGGGATATTTTCATTTATGGCTTGCCTGCAACAAGAGACATTACAAGAAATATTTGGCAAAGAACGGAAGAAAGAAAGCCCAGCAAGAAAGACTTGATCATGGGCTGTCTCGACCACCGACTTACGCCACTACCGACGGAAGAATTTTTGAAATGCCTTGCGAGGTTGAAAAAGATGGCCGTTTTAATGATTTGAGTGGCCTCTGACTTGCTTGAAAACCTTACTTTGACTGACTTACTTATATCTCCAACTTCAACACTGTTTTTTTTCTTTGAAAAAAAAAAAAGATTCTCCGTGAATGCCGACACTACAAGAAATACTGGATCACTTAACTGAATGCGCTCTTTCCCTTTGAATTATTTGAATCAAGATTGTAAAATTTTCGATATTTTGCCCTGTGCAGAGCAGAAACTGTATCTATAATATTCGGACATTTTCTGTCGAATTCGGCGAATAGTGATAGCAGGCTGGAAGTAGAAAGCGATTAACTACGCGTAAATCAACTTACGATTCAGTGATACAGCACTGATTACTTTACATGAAGCGTGCCATTTTGCTCGATAAATTGTAGATCATAAGGAAATCTCAATAAAAAGAAAAGAAGTAGTCAGAGTAACTTTGATCTGAGCTAAAGTGAGAGCAGCGGAAGCCGTGGGAAATATTTCCATGTTTTCGTTATGCGCGTGCTAAACCGTAACATTTTCAGTACGCCCTCAGTCGGAAAACGAAAACGGCGTACGTTTTTCCTTTACTACGTGGTCCAGAAAAGTAGGGTTCCTTTAATGTTTCGTTGATTACTTGCTGCGTCAGTAGTGAAAAGTTTGATATTCTATCGATACAAAAAGAAAGAAATAATCTTTAACAATGAATGAGTCGATCCTAAAAAGAAATAAGGTAATGTTCATGATCAATAATTGGGGGATTTTAAGTTCCAAGCCCCATACCCGAAAAAGGAAATCAAATTGTAATCAAGTACAAACCAAGACGGCATGACAAAATAAATGTAGTTAAAAATTTGTCGCGGATTCGAGTTACCAACCAATGCCTAGTCTTATGATGAAAAAATATCCAGGCCCGCCGAAAATCAGGAAACACGAGAGACAACCATTTGGAATACTTGTAACAGGCTTGTTTTATAAAGGTATTATATCAAATCACCAGGAGTAACAATGATTGTGACTCTATATTTTGTACGGTAATTTTTTCTTTCAGTTTCTTTCTTTTTTTCTTTCTTGTTGATGAGGACATGGTCTCGGCACTTGACAAGAAAGTGACATTTCTCACGAGAAACCACATCGTTTAAATGCTTATTGACGACTTAATTAAAAGCATTTCTATCCTTTGTTTTCGCAAAAGCTAACGGAAATTTCTTGCTGAGGTTGATCAAATCATGGGTAACACATTTATGTGGAAATTTTCAATTCACGTTTTAAATACCGATCTGGATATACGCCAAACCCCTAGTTTTATCAGACACTTTTTTAACGAGCAAGGCATATTCCCCTCTACTATCTATGAGCAAGGCAAGTAACTAAAAATATGCACGTAAACATTAAAGGTCCAAAGCAGTGTTTAGTTTCCTCGACACAGGAAGCAAATTTAATCGACAAGCCGAAAAAAAAAAAGATAGATAAATAGATAAATCTTTTAAGCAGTCAGTCAAACTGAGCCGATCAAAGACGGCTATTTGTTTTCCTTCCTTAAACGATCGTTCGATCAAAAACTCATTTATTACCTCCAAAGTCAAGTTCCTATGAGATGATGATTTTTTAAGAGCACAAAATCAGTTCGAAAGGGTTTTCTGATTCTGAATGAAAATTGCAAGGAGACTACAGTCCGTACGTCATGACCTCGAGCCAAATATTTTCCCGTCCGGCCATCCCACTCAGTCAATAAGTACATATTATTTTATTACTTTTTATTTTATGTATCCCCTCCTGCTAACGTAAAATTCAAGTTTAATACGCATGATACAGATAAATATGCATTTTAGAGAAATCAACTGTTAAATAATTGAATTTTTGAAACAATACATCACCCATCATCCACCACTCATTTACTTACAAAACTTTTTTCAGGCAATCATAAACAACTTACAAATTACTGTCTAAAAAACCGTACATTCGCAATCGAAAAATTGTCCCAACAGGGGGATGCATGGGAACAAGTTGGTTGCGTGACATCTTCAGTACACAGCGTGACTCAAAAACCACAGATGTTTCCATATCTTGAACTGTCTTTGTTTTTTTTTTTCTCAAGCAATTAAAACATACAAGAGGCTGATATCAATCTGGCTGCAGTGTGGTTCTCAGTTATGCTGCAAGACAGCATTTGCGACACAGATCTAGAGCTCAGCAAGAAAAAACAGTTGAGAATTAAGTTAAGAAATAATATTAAATTGTGATGTTTGTATTAATATGTACCAGGTAAGCTGGAGCTTTTGTGTTTCAACTAAACAACAGCCTCGTGTGTTTCAACTAAACAACAGCCTCGGTATAAATATACACGTAAAAAACAACAGATCATAGAATTCTGTTGTATCAACAGACCAGAACTACTTCAAATTAGTGGTGTTTCTAGTACTGCATCTGTTTCTTTCAGGGAAAAAAAACTTTCATTTTCAACATTTCTTACTCTGAGAGATTTTTCACCTCTACATCTCTTAATTTCCTGTGGGAATTCGCATTTCCTTTTCTCATAATTTTTAAGAAATCAGAAAAGCTATGTGAAGGTAGATAGTTTCCTATCCCCAGCACATAATCATTGTTTTGGTGAATAGGTGGTGATAGTGATTTGTATGGAAACAAGCATAGGGATCTACATAAATCATTGGCGTACCAAGCCAATTAGCAAGGTACATGTGAACCATGATAAGAAGGGATGTGCACTGTTAAGATCATATACATGAAAATGTATAATGAAACTGGATGCATGATCTCAAGGTTAAATTGTATTAGCCCTCAAAAGTTTAATTAGTTTTTCCCTGCCTGCTATGTGTTTCATACTAAAATGAAGCCCTCTAGCAAATGTCTACATAGGGCTTTGGCTCTCCTCCTGCATGAAATTGAGTTAATGTCGATCTCCAAGTATGGTCCTTATGTACTTGGACAATATCCAGATAACTCTCTCCTTCTAGAGCACAGTTGAACAACCAGAGTGACTGACTTCAATCTATTCTTTGTGAATCTTCTTTTCCTATTGTCCAGTTGATAACAGCCACAAAAAGACTCATCCTCTCCTATCCACTCCTGCAAGTATATCATTCAACAAAGAAGGCATAGTTTTCTTAGAGGGTATGGAATAACTCTTTCCAATTGGCAAATTAATCAGTGAATAAAAACAAGTTATGGGGAGGAAGACTTGCTCAATAAAAATCTAATGAAGGCCATCCTCTTTTTTTTTCTCCTTTTAGAGTTGTCCGACTGATGAAGCCAAGTGTTTGGAATTTAAAAAAAAAAAGTAATGATGGATGTACTCAAACTATTTTTCACTTTACGTAATTCTTTTAATCTGAAAGATAAGCATAGTAATGGTACAGAGAAAAACTGCAGGAACGAAATCAGGAATATTTTTTAGCAGAATATTGTGCATTTTGTTAATCCAAATGTGTAAATATTTACTTATTTAAATGATGCTGGGGTACCAGGCCTCCTATTCAGAGACTTGTTTTGATTTTTCTTTTTTTCAATCCAACCAACCTACCCAATATCAGGAAACACATTCAATGCTAAACCAACAAAAGGGGATGGCCTGAGGATGATACATGAAAATGTTTATTTACCATGTTGTTGAAGTGACCTGAAATTCCATACATGTCCTCTGGGAAAGGGTTAAATTCTGGAAACAAATCACACGGAAATAAATTACTTAAGACTGTGTGGTATCACACAGTATTTTGAAGAACATTTAATATACCCCTCAGTTAAACAAACTGTCATGAGACCATTGAGTTAAATGAGAAGATATTTACTTAAGGATATGATAAATAATAACAACTGATAATATTAACATCATTGTGAGGATAAAAAAATTATCCTTCACAAACAAATGAAATTGTTACAAGCCAGGATAATGATTAAAATCTCAATTTATCACTAAATTAATTATTAATTATCAAATATTAATTATGGATTAAAATCTCAATTCATTTTTTTACCCTCTGCCAGGCCATACTCTCTCATCAAAGTTTTCTTTTCTTGCCATCACTTTCTGGTTGACAGTGTGGTGATGATGTAATAGGACATAGTTACTCTTTGGTTACTCCATAGAGTGAAAGGGATAATTAAAGACTTTTCACAGTGACATGATTACTATTAGATGACTATGTTTAGCTGTAACACTATTGATCTTTATCCATTCAGTTCTTTTGATTCTGTATTTGAAAAGACTGTAGTGGGTTAAAAATTACCAGATGAGCGACCCAGGATGTGTGATGATGGAGAATGAGATTCATTTTCAGCCAGTTCTTCTGGGATTGATTCATGGCTTGGGTCTCTAAAATTAAAGAAAAAAATGTGAGCTGTTATTAAAACTGAGAAAAACACCATGTCTCTTGCCCAAAACACATCTTTAGAACTTTTTTTAAGATTTCTACTGCAGCAATGTGTAACTTTACTTAAGATTTTAAGATGTCCTTTGTATTGTTAAACCTTGTATTGGTGAAAAGGTGACATTATAATTGTGAATATATTTGATATCATGAAATTAAAAGCAGTATACCTTTAACTTAACAAATTTTTTTTTTTACCCGCAAGAACTTGCTCTGCTTTCGGTGGGAAAGGTCACCATCACCTCTGATTCATCTCTTATTCCAAGGTCATAAAGCTCTTTCAGACCACTGCCTTCTTGAATCTCTCTGTCACCAACCTTGAGCAAGGTACCAGAGGTTGGTATATTGAGACATCTCTTGAGTTCATCTACAGTTGCAAAACAGGAGATTCTAACTCTCTTTGCTTCCTTACTGGGAAGGTGCACAGTGATGTTTATGAAATTACAAGCTACTATGGCCTTTAAAACTGGCTTTCTGGATTGTAGGAATACTTTGGTTAGGAGGCCTCTCCTTTCCTCAATATGTTCCCCATCAAGTAGAAGGGAAAGGTTTCCTCTAGTAATGTCGACATTCATCTTTGTGGCAACTGTTTCTCTCACTGACTCGATGGAATCATAGCGAGGATCAACCCAGAGAGTAAAGGGATCCATGTGACAGGACTTTATCAGTATTGGCTCCTCACTGGTTAGGACTTCGATAATGTCACCATTCTTTAAAAAGTAAGATCTACAAAGAACAAGAAGGAACTTAATATTTCCAGGGAGTAGACCACAGTGTTGAAATGAAAATAAATTTATCCATTGGATGTTGCCTCTTGGAATCAATTGTGATTGTGTATGAATGCAGGCCTGATTACTCTTCTAAAGAGGCTATATTTCAGGGCCAATTCCTATCATCATTACAATTACTATGATCATAACTGTTATTGTTTTCTTTCTATTTAAAAGTTTAATTGTTGATAGCAATTACCTTATGAACTGCAGTTCATCAAGAACTTCTCCATCTTTAATCAAACAAGTAATACACCCAAGTTGGTCCCACAGTGTTTGGTTAATCTCATCTCTGAGGTCACTGACAGTTGCCAACTTGAAATCAGTCAACAGTACTTCATGTCTTTTCTCTGTTCCTAAATGCCTAACAAACAGCACCATTGCCTCAGGCTTAAATTCCAATTCTAATTTTCCATTTGGCTCTGAAAGCACCCCATGCTCAGTTTCAGATGGCTCACTAATAAATGTTAGCTTGCCATTCTCCCAAGCAGAACCCTCGATGATCAGAGGATATGACTGCCGAGCATCCACAGTCCAAAACCCAAGAAACCTGCCACTGAATGTGACGTCCACTTCCACAGCTTCAAAAAAAAAAAAAAAACAGTAGAAAGAATTAAATTATAAATACAAATCATGATCACAAAAATATCAGTAATTTAAAATTCAACCAGAAATATGTTGATTAAATTACTTCTTTTTCTCTTGTTGCATACAGTTGAAGCTCTCTTAACGGACACTCGTGAGGAGACAGCTCTACTTATGGCCGCCTTGTTTGAAACCCTGTTTTAACTTCCATACAAACTCTGTATTTTTACATTCTCGTAAGCRGACATTCCCGTAAGCGGCCGCAGACACTTTCAGGGATTATGACTTAGACTTTTTCTTTGTTTTAAGCTCTCGTAAGCAGACACCCGAAAAAAAATCAACAACCTCTGTTCAGTATCTTGTTTTTATCAATCAACCATTTTACATTGCCGTTCGTCACAATGATTTTACAGTAATTACAGTACGGTATTTCTGTCAATGTTTAATTTGAATATATCAACAAAGTTGAAATGGTAAATTGGCCACCATTACGATTATAAAAGCTGACGTTTTGATCGTTAGCCCTTCGTCGGAGCAAATAGAGGAATTGTGGGTTGTGTGTGCTTTTAAAGGCAGAGAATGGAGCTACGTTGTTAGTGGGAACATGGCAACGAGAAAAACAAATTAATGGAATGAAAAGCGTTCGTTGATACCTGTGGGATTTAGACTGCTGGTGTGAAAGATGAGCTTTTGTTCAAGAGTTTTACGGCTTTCCGTGCTACCTAAGTGTAAGGAAAGACCGCAGATTGCCATATGTTGCTTAGAATGATTAGGTAAATTAAAATGTCTAGTGACTGGTTTCGATGTGTCCTTGTCATTCCTCTCCACGTCACGAAGGTGTTCTCGGAATCGGTCACCTAGTCTTCTGCCTGTTTCGCCGATGTAAATCTTTTTGCAATAAGTGCAAGTTATGCAATAGATTACATTGGTGGAGGTGCATGTGAAGTGCACGTGAATATTTCAATGTTTGTTTTGTCATCATCCATGTCCGGTTACATTTTGAAGCATATGCGCTTGTGACTGGAATACTGTTCAATTATTTGTCATTATCATAGGATTGTATAGGGCACAATAAAACAAAAGTGTCATTTGATACTGCAGTATTTTTTTGTATACCAATATTTATTGTTAGCTGGGCAAGCCCTTGTAAGCGGCCATCTATCCCCAACACCTCTAGTGGCCACTTATGAGAACTATTCTCGTAAGCGGCCAGCTCCAGTTACAGACATTTTTATCCCGTCCCGAGGGGTGTCCACTTACAAGAGTTTCGACTGTATTTTCATATTTTTTGTGAGCTGTTTTAGTTGATAAATCATTTTTGTCATGTATTGAGGTTATAATTCTAGTTAGTATAATTTCAGAGCTGAGCAAAGAGTTTCTAGCAATCTGAATGGTCGAGCGGTTCCTTATATGACGCTATATAAACCGCTCCACGCAGGTTATATAAAATGTTAAAATAAAATGGTAATAAATGTTACTAAAATGTTATGATTTCAGAAAATTCTCTGTTGTTCAGCTCTGAAATTATACTAAAACAATTATTTGCCTCAGGTTCAGTGAATATTGTCGAATAATCCCCTCGACTTAGTCTTGGGGATTATTCGACGATACTCACCGAATCTGAGGCGAATAATTGTTAATTATAAAAAAGATTGAACATCTCCACCTTACAATTAATTTAATAAGGTAAGCCCGTTGCTAGATGAAAATTTTTTTACTCAACAACAAAAACAGAAAGATTCAAGAAAGATCACAAAGATTTGGAACACTATTCTGTTGGAAATAAGACAATCAAGTACAGTTTGTTATTTAAGAAAAAACTCAAGACCTTCCTTTTTTACTAAATTCATCAGCATATTTTTAATTTTTAGCCTATTGTTTCTAGGTATGTTAAGTTGCTATTTTTTTTTCTTATAAGTTTTTTAGAGTAAATTTTATGGTTTTAGGACTAATTTTGTAAATGTGTGCATTATATATTAAATGAACTAAATATTACTATTATTATTATTATTGTTATTATTATTATTACTTCTTCAATGGTACAAACTAATCAGGGCCTCTGATAGGGAGCGGAAAAAAATGGAAAATTACGCGGAGATTTTCGGCAATATTATGCTGACGAAAGTGACGATTACGAGGAAAAGACACCAGATTATGCGGAAATTTCTAAAACTTACTAAAGTTGCTCCCTTGGCTTTTTCCAACGTATAAAATACACGCTAACGTCTTACCGAGAATTTTAGACCTTTACAACATGTTTGACCTTTTGCTGCCATTCGTGGACAGGTATGTCTTCGTTCAACCATAGTTCATCGATTAACTATGGTTCAACGCAGTTTTTCTTATTTTTCGTCGTTGAGTCTGTCCGAAACTTATTAACCAGCCAATAAATCGGACGAGGAAAACTGGACACCGGAAGTATCAAAAACAAAAGTTGAACGCAGGCCCATTGATCACCAGACTGATGCATGGAACGCCTGGCGGTTTAAAATTGTTTACGAACGAAAGACGTGTTTTCGTCGCTGTTTTGGGTGAATAACTTCTTCAAAATGATCAATCTTTTCGCTATTTTTGCTTCTGAGGATGGTAAGCAGTTGCTTTCTCGCTTATATGTAGAAATTTTCTAGTTTTATGCGGAAAAATGCTCCAAGGATGCGGAAGTGGGCGAATTATGCGGATCCACACCACCACATCCAGTCAGATGCCCTGAAACTTGTACCCATTATTGTAAGGTGTAACTGACACAGTGGAATGATATGGCATTCAAAACAATGAACACTAATTATTAACTGCCTATTTGTACAGTAACTCACCATAATCATTGTTATTTTGTACAGCAATTTGAAAGGCAGTTCCATTTTCCATCTCAACAAGGCCCATTTCAGATGTAATTTCACAGAGACTTCCATCACTGACCAAGACTGAATAGCCTGCCTTACTGTAACAATTTGAAAGTAAAGACAGGTTTTCTGTTGGATGCAAGGGTGAATCCTTGCCCCCATCGGGCACAATTTCTGCAAATGGATAATTTAAATAATGATAAGAAATATTGGTATTGAACTATTCAGGGTTGTGGTGCAATGTGGACTCATGCAGTTCACTCAAACGGGGTGACAGTTTGAATTACAGACCATTTCCTCTTGAAAATTTTCCTTTCAGTTCATGGTAAGCCATCTCACAATATTGAAATTTTAAGTTGGTTTACCTCTTTTTCAAGATTCAACATAGCTGTTCTTTTCTAATAGATATTTCTTGAAACATATCATTTTTGCCGCATATAAATTCATTTAATAGAAAAATCCGAGCCCCAGATGGGACAGATGGGGCTCGGATTTTTCTATTACATTAAAAATTGTTTCATCTATAAATTCATTATCCTCAGTAATACATTGTGAACAAATTGTTTTTAAAGCTGACTGAGGCAATGAGCAGTTTTTTTAAGTCCTCAAGTCAGAGTACCATGTATTTATATTGCTTTCCTTATCATGGTCCACCTCAGTTCAAATTGAGCTCTAGTTTCCTTATATTGAGAGAAAAAGATGAGCACTGACTTAAAGTACTCAAAGTCAAATCTATAGACATTCTTTACCTTGGTAACATATCATGCAGTCCAGTGAACTGTTGACCAGTCTTGAGAAAATTTTTTGTTTATGTATCATGCACTCAGTTGTAATCTAGTTGTACATTCTGACTACATGCTATTAGCAAAAAATAATTATGCAACATATACTAAAGGAAAGTAATTAGTCACATACCCCCTTTGCATAAAGTTTTGTTAGCTACCATCTCTTGGGAATCTTGCAAATTGGTTTTGATTTGTTAGGTACTATGAGTGACTACATCTTCATCTGATGTTTCTTGAAATCCGAAGAAACGAGTGGGACAGGTTGGTATCCTTGTGATCACTTCTGCCGCTGTGTTATGAAGAGCAGTCTCCTTAGTCTTAACGTTCTCAAAGCCACTGTTTTCCAAGGTCCCATTCTCATTAACATGTTCCTTCAGCTTATTACCAGATTCATTTCTATTGATTTTCGACTTAACTTGTTCGGCTGCTAATGTCAGCTTTAATTGCTTACCATGGTCAGTTCTTGGCAAGGGTGAAGTGGGTTTCGCCTTGGTCCCAACAACGCGTTGGGGATCCTTGTGTGCAAAGGCTAAATTGCCCTTCTCCATAATTTGACAGAGCACGGCTCCCTCCGATGATACCTGTTTGTTTGTTGGTTGAATGTTTTCCTCAGTCTTCTCTATTTGAAACTCGCCTTTCTCACAGGAGTTTATTGCTTTTGAACCCTCTTGCTCTAAGGAAAAAATTGAAGTTTGCGACGGTAAGTCAATACAGTCGAACCTCGACAATCCGGACTCGTTAGTACTAAACGACATAGTCCGGACAATCGAGGGTCCGGATAATCGAGAATATGAATGTTAATGTGGAACAAAAGCTGAACTAATCAAGAAAGCGACATTTAATCGTGAAACAAAACATTTACAAATCGTTTTGAAAAAAATTGGCCTACATCTTCACTGTCCGTTGTGAGTACCCCTATACACTTGTGTATTAACAATTAAGAGTAATAAAAAATGTTTTTACTTTGGCCTAAAATGTCGAAGTAAGTCATTTTGTTTTAAAGAAGAACATCGCCTTTACTTCACTCTTCAACGCTGCAGTTTTAAAAAGAATATGGCTACGGATATTTAACATTAACAATTATTCATCAGAAAATTGGGACCAGAGAAAAAGTCCGGATAGTTGAGGAATCCGGGTAATCGAGGTGCACGGAACCCTTTAATTTTGTCTGAGGCACAACTACATGTATTAATCGGATCTATAATGGTTTAAAACACAGGATAGACAGCATTCCAAATAATTTTCCGGGCTGGGCTAACGATGATCGAATAATAGGATTCTTGACGAAAGAAACATCAAGCAAATACTGACAGCGTAATCTCCATCCTAAAACCTATAAAGGTTTCGCTTTTCTTAGTAGTGAAGTGCCTCAGTTTACATACCTTCTTCAAAATTAGTAATATCACTGGGTGAAACTGTTTCAAGCGCCGTTTCCATCGACCCAAATTTGGCTGGAGAGACGATACGTTCTCTTTCCATTTCTCCTAAGTATTCCAGAGTTTGAACCACGCCGTTCTCTGCGCATTTCGTGGATGCCGCATCAGCCATACATTCTTTCAACGACAACTTCAGTTTTTGGGTTTCGTAGGAACCAAGTTCATTGTTAACAGAAAAATGAGTATCGCTTTCGAGCTGAGCCATACTCTGTTTTTAGGATACTTCAGAACAATCGTGAAATATGAGCTTTTTGCCTTGATCGACTTCCACAGACAAACTGAATTCCTTGATTGAGACCTGATCGCTTTTAACAGTTACTAGAGTTGTCACTGGGTATATTTAGAAAATATTTTGAGGCTCGAAAGTAGGGTACTCCCCTTGTTCGCTTCCGCAGGAAGTAATTGAGGAAGCAGGTGTACAAATCGTACCCAGGCTTTTACCAGTTCTGAAAAACGGAAGTAAAGGTTTGAATAAGAAAGTGAAACTTCGTCACCTGCGAAAGCTATTTCTTGAACCATTGTCTCATTGAATTAAGACAAAATTATGCCAGTTTAGATCTTGTAACTAAAAACAGCCATGATAACAGTAATTAAAAATACTGCTTAAGAGGCCGTGACTGTAAATATCGAGAATTGCTGGCCAGGCTAAAAAAATCGAAAATTCTGATAATTTGCCTGGAAAACCCCTTTAGAGAGATATATTAAAAAAAAATATTTCAAAGTTTGAAAAATAAAATGTGTTCGAGGAAATGGGGAAAAACGAAAATTCAGGTTTTTACCTAATTAATTATGCAAAAAATACAGTAAAATTGAGCAACTTTAGCGTGCTAGTACTAAAGGAGGATGTTTCGTAAGAAATCGGGGGTGTTTTTACTTCAAAGTATAATTAATGTGACTTTTATATGTGGCATTTTAAGGAGCTTTGGTTTAATTTTAAAATTCACATGATTTTTTAACTAAGTGCTGTCAAATGCTTGTTGCAAAAAGCGAAAAATCGACCAGCTTCAAACCTTCAAAACGTGTCTTGGTATGTGTGGCATCATGTCAAACTACATGCTGGCACAAAGTTTGGTCCTTATACTAAAATAATATGTAATAAAAAATGTGGGTAATTCAGAAACGTGCCGGCAAAACATAAAGCTTTGCGATACACTGTGGCCAGAGGTCACGAATTTGCATGATGCAAATCAGTTGTAGGAATCGTACCGCCTGATGGTTCTGGTGTAGGAAGGGCTCTTTTGATGGCTTCAACATAAGATGTACAAGAATAATGACCAGTATTTAATAGCGTTTAATTCTTTTTCAAGCCAATGAGGTTTTTGTTTTTTATCTCGATACTGTCTTGAGGAAAAGCATAATGTTTCAATTGCGTGACAATTGTCACGTTGGATCAAAGGTGAAGTTGCCGAGTAAAGCGGACACGATCCTTTATTTCGTCAAAACTCCATTCTGAAGCATCCAGTCCTATATATCTCGTGTTAAATTATTTGTATAAACTCTTTAATGAGTCTTTATCGAACAACATCTCGCCGGCCTGATCCTGTTTGACTTCAGGCTGACTGCCAAGTGCGGTTCGAAGGGGACTTTTTCATTTCCGGTTTGCGCCTTTGATACGGGGACCGCGGAGCTATGGGGTTGAGTGGGCTGTAGCCCCACCAAGAAGAATTTATCATTATCATTATTATTTATTTTAATCTTTGTAATTAAAAAAAAGTTGAAAAAGTTTTCCTAGGACTGAAGCGCATTTCCGGTGATTTCAGAAGCTCTAGATTTCAAAAATTGCGGGGGGAAGCATATCCCAGTACACCCTATTTAGCAGTCTTTCTGAACCAAGAAAGGCGTACTAAGAAACAGACAAAAGGAGGCTCTCCTTGGGGGGGAGGCCCCAAGACCCTTATTGATAAGTTGGTGTCAATGAGCTCACACTACGCGGGAACTAAGACAGCTCCTCCGATCTAAAATATGCTCCATGGCCCCCATTTTATATCAACGTTCATATAAAACTCAATTTTTTTGATGCAGCCTTTTGCCATTTGCCTTTTGAACTGCACTGCATGAGCAGCATCTAACAAGGTCTTCGCGCAGAGCGATGTATGATGTCTTTTTTTTCTGATCAACCCCAGGTTACATTTTAATTTAACTGCTCAAAAATAGACTCTTTAGCATTTGACAAATTAAACTCTTCTTCCATAGCAACCAGATCTTCCTCAGTTACAGCTTATGCGCAGAGGGCTGTCTGCTGTTTCACTTTTGGTGCCATTCTGGAAAAAATGAAGCTACTTGTTGAGTCGCCAAAAACTCGGAGACACTGAACAAGCGCTTCCCTTTCGATCCCTTTGCTCTTCTCATTTCTGTTGCAACCATTTCCGCGTCGACCTTTTTGCCACTTTCTTGTTTGATGGTAAATCTAACAGTCAGATATTCTCGTTGCTTTTCGTTAAACCGGTAAGCTTTCTTAACTTGTTTGAAAGCGAAGCCTTCAGTGCTACGAGGACAGGTTTCAGGAGGTAGAGGAATAGTTGGCACGGAACTTGAACCTTCCTCGAGCCTTGCGGCATATTTAACCTTCGCTTTATCAAGAAATGTCTCCCTTTCAACCGTCTTTGTGCATGTTCCGAACGCGAGATGCTTTTCCAGAGAAGAATGCCTTTGGAAACTACGCGTGCCGCCCTCTTTTGGAC